GGGGAGGGGGGGGGGGGGGGCGGTGGATGAGATTTGTCAGCTCGTGGATTTGGGGAGTGGGGGACAGAGTGTTGGGGGCACCTCGGCTCTGTCTCTGCCTGGGAGTGGGGGAAGTCGGGGCAGTGGTTGTGAATGGGGGCAATGGGAGACCTTCTGGGTGGAGGCCTTTGTGAAATCCAGCAGACGAGCTCTCTGCGGTCCCCACCCCAGGCCCACATTGACTCTGGCAGGTTTTCAGGTGAGGGAGGTTGAGGGGTTGACTGACACCTGCTGCCTCCCTGGGCTTTCTCGGGGGAGGGTGTGCGGTGTACTGTGGCTGGGATGTCTGTCGGGCTGGAGCGTCTTCTTGGGAATCTCCTTTCCTTGTGGGGATGGAGTGTTCACTGTGCTTCTGGAAACTTCTGTGAGCCTTCTTTCCAGCCCGACATCTATGTTTTCTGCAGCCAGATGACCCTCTTGCCAGCTCTGTCTCGGGTGGTGGGGACCAAGTGTCTGCAGGTGGGGTGCAGCGGCCGGGGTGGCCTGGGGTCACTGCTTCTCGGCATCCTGCCCTTTGTCACAACCATCCTCCAGTGTGTGTACCACTTTGCTCCCTAGACCGTCATGCCTGTGTTCTGAGCTCCTGGTGAGTTCAGTCTGCGGGGGAGACATTCTCTTCTCCTGCAAGCTTCTCTGGGTCTGGAGTGTGTTGGCCACCCATCCGTGGTGGCCTCGGGGAGAACCCGGGAGGATGGAGTGGAAGCCGCAGTGACGGTGCATGAGGCTGGACCAGGCAGAGAACGGGGGTGCAGGAAGGCCTGGTTCCCTGCCAGTTAGTTGTCCAGGGCCCTTGAGTCTGGAGTCCTGGCCGTACTTGTCCCTCTGCCCAGGGCCTGCGGGTACTGAATCCCAGGGTTTGATGGGCAGAGGACAGGAGGCTCGCTCCCTCCAGAGAGCGGACACCGGTCCCGGGTCCAGCCTCTTCTCAGTGACATTCTCTCATGTCATATCGTTTCTTATCTTCAGGTGCATTTTAAAAAATGGGACAATCAATAATATAGGATCCCCAAAGACTCATTTTGTAAATGGGTCTGCTGAGGATTTCCTGTGTTTGCTGAGCACCTCCTGTGTATAAGTCTGTTGGGTCCTCATATAGTAGCTGATGGAACGGTCACTGCAGCCTTACTAGGTGCTGGCTTGGTGACCCTCAGTTCCCAGGTAAGGAAACAGGCACTGGGGGAGGTGACTTGGCCCATACCTGGTGAGTGGGGACCCCAGATGCAGACCCAGGTGAGGGGCCCAAGGAGCAGGTCTGCCCTGCCGAGGACTTCCCAGAGATTGTCACACGTCTGAAGAGAGCAGGTACAGAGCAGAAACTGGAGCAGTAGAGGGGTGACAGGTGAAGGGGGCGTGCCCACACCTGGACAGGTGGAGGAGTGTGGTCCCACCCTCCTGGTCCCCGCCCCCGCCTCCCGTGTCTCTTGTGGAGGGAAGTACCCTTTGGCCACGGGCCTCTCCCATGGGACTCTTCGGCTTTGTCTGATATACCTTGGTTTGGCTTTGGGTGATACTTGTGAACCGCTAAAAACACTTTGTTTTTCAGTATTTAAAAAAATGTATTGAAATGAAATTTGCACAAGCGTAGACTGAATCACTTCATAGCGTGTGTTGGGTGGCGGTTAGGACACTCCTAGGGCTGTGCGGCGCCCCCCTCACCCTGTCTAGTTCCCGAGCATCCCCGTCTCCGGCCAGAGGAACCTCCCACCCACTGAGCAGGGCCCCCCTGCTTTCCCCTCCCCACAGCCCTTGGCAGCCATCCATTTGTGTTCTGTGCTGTGAATTGATCTGGTCTGGATATCTCTGACAAATGGAATCATATGATATGTGACCTTCTGTGTCTGGCCTCCTTCAATTGGCACCCTTTTTTTTTTTTTTAAAGATTTTATTTTTAAGAGCCGTTTTGGGTTCATAGCAAAATGGAGAGGCAGCTGCAGAGGTTTCCCACGTGCTTCCCATTCCCCTCAGCATACACTCAGCCCCCTCCCTCAGCATCCCCAGCGGGGCGGCACCCTTGTTGTAACCGATGACCCTTAGCACCATCATTAACACCCAGAGCCCCTGCTTCACACTGGGGCTGGCTCGTGATGGTGTGTATTCTGTGGTCTGGACAAGCGTGTGATGACGTGGATCCAGCCTCATAGTATGGTATGGAGTCATTTCACTGCCCTAAAAAACAGGACTTTTAAAATGTTCAAGACTGCCTCCTAAAGAGAGAAGCTTTGTGAACTTATGTGAAGCTAGGATATCAGAAAGTCAGCCTCTTGTGCGGTAATTCAAAAGAAAGTAAAACATTCTCCGGTGAGTCACTGCTTAGCAGTACTTTGGGGCCGGGAGGTCCTGAAGGTGAGCATGGCTGCACCTCCTCCCCTCTCGCTCTGTGTGACAAAGGACTCATGTGTCCCCTGGGTTTTCTGTCACCAGGAGGCTATTACGGAGGAGTGGGGTCTGTTAACAGTCCAAGTAAGCTCCTGGGCACGTGGCCCAGCGGTTACAGGAAGTGCCCTCCTCTCTTTCCTCTGTGTCTTATATCTGCAGGACTTGTACATCTTGCACATCTGAAACCCTGCCCGCACTGGACAGTGGCCCCCTGTCCCCGACCCCTGGCCCTCCACTCTGTTTCTGTCTCTGGATGTGACTGCTCCAGGTGCCTCGCTGCAGTGCCGTCCTCACGGTTCATCCGTGTTGTAGCTCGTGTCAGAGTCCCCTGCCCTGCGCAGGCTGAGTGATGCCCCGCTGCACGTTTACACCACATGGTGTCATCGTTCCTGGGACAGTGGGCCAGTGGTTGCTCCCACCTTTTGACGGTTGTGAGCAGTGTGGTGTGGACACAGGTGTCCAAACATTCGTCCAAGTCCCTCCCTCGGGGTTCCAGGCAGATTCCCAGTCGTGGGACCCCTGGGTCCTGAGCGGACGGCAGCTTCTGACGGGCGTTGTCTCTCCTGCAGGCGCCTGCACCAGGGGGACCAGCAGTTGAGGACGTCGTCTCTGCCGGCCATCCCCAACCCCTTCCCCGAGCTCTGCGGCCCCGGGAGCCCCCCTGCGCTCACGCCGGGCTCCGTACCTCCCGGCCCAGCTGCTGCGAAGCAGGTGAGCCACCCCTGGTTGGAACGCCAGGCTGCTCGCGTGTGGAGTTAGGACCGTCGAGCTGGCTCGTGGCTCTGGGACGAAGAGAGGGAAACTGGGATCTTTTCTCTTTGCTCTTCTCCTGTTGCTACCAGGCTTGTTGCCTGACGAGGCTTTTGACTTTACTGGCCAAAATGCCACTTAGGAAGGATTTAGGAACAACATTTAGGATGTTTTAGATGTCATAGAAAGAGTCTTATAAAAATGGTAAAAGAATAATAGTACTGATCATTTGATGCTGAAAGGTGAATTTTAGGTTCTCTGAAAAAAATGTCACCACCATCATCTTCGTCTGGATGAATGAGGCATTAAAACTGGACGTTCCCGGGCACCCGGACTAGAGGGTAATTGAACAGTTTGTAACATTCCTGACTTTGAATAGGATGTGCTCAGGGCAGAAGGATTTTGACTTGACCCAGAAGGTGACAGCCAACTTTTAAACCAGCAGTTTCTGACTTAAACTAAGACTGTGAGGTGCCTGTGATACACACGTTGTCCCCAGCGGAGGAGACAGGCAGAGCTTCAGTAAGTCATCCATGGTCAAATCGCCAGTCATCACCTTGTCAGAAGGGTGGGCTGGCAGTTCTGTCCCTCGTGGCTGGCAGGGCCTGGCCCAGGGTGGGCTGCAGGCTTGGGAGGGGGACCCGGTGATGTTCCACAGTGGGGTATAGCGCTAACACTAACAACAATAATAATAACAACAAAGATGAAGAAAACAACATTCTGTGTGGTTTATATGTTTATTTATATAAATAACATTTACTTCTCAAAACAAACCTGAGAGTTAGGTGCAAATGGTACATCTAGTCTGCATTTGGGAAACTGAGGCCTAGCTGTGAGCGGTGGACCTGGTTGGGGTCCCGGTGTGGGCAGTGGAGCTGGGCAGCACCTAACACCAGGATCTGGCACCTCTGATCTTAGCCACTAAACTAGGTCTTCCTGGGCCCTTGATGTTCTTTCTTTGCAGTGAGTGTATTTCAGAAGCCTCTTTGCCTTTTCTGGTGGAGCCACTCTCCTCTGCACTTCTCCACCCTTGTCCCCAAGCACATCCTCTTTCTCTGCATACCCGTCCCCTGCAGCGTGCGGGGTCTGCACTCTTATGAGGGAGTCGTTTCTCCCGAGGCTCGCCCGCTCCCGAGAGCTGCTGCCTTCTGACCTCATGCCTCGCAAGCGGGCTGCGCCGTCCCCGTGTCAGCACTCAGAGGTGAGGTCAGGGTCCCTTTCCGCGGCCAGCGCCTGCCGGGCTGCAGCCCTCATCACATGCCTGAAGTCCATCTGGGATGTCTGCCTGCCTGGTGACCTTCTGCTTCAAATAAGGGTCTAGACAAGCTGTCTGTGGGTTGGGCACTGAGGTTGTTTACAACATTACCCGTCCTAAAATAAGACCATGAAAATATTATCTGGCTCTCAGCAGTGGCTGGCAAGAAAACCAGCCTCCACCCCGTGGACTGTACAGCTCTATAAGCAGAATCAGGAAACCCAGGGATTTTGCCTGCTGTTTTTCTTGGGATCAGAGTTAGTTCCCCCACAAGAATGTTGCATTTGGTGTCTAAATTTCTGTCACCAAGATTCCTCCGCCCTCTGGGACCAGCGACCAGGAAGGATGTTCCACACTTAGCCCTACGCGTAGAAACTTGGTGGTTTTCGTTGTTTGCTAACTGGCTCAAAGGGATGTCTCTTGACCACACTGGGTTCTGAGCTCCTGAATGCGTGTTTTGTTGGTGCTGCCATTGGCGATGCCTGGCAGCCTCAAGCTGCCCGCCCAGGCTCAGTGCCCGTGATGGGGGCGGGGGGCCCTCCTTTGCCACTTACCTGCGGGCAGGAGAAACCTGCTCTTCCTTCCCTTCCTGCAAAGTCAGAGGAAGCAGTGGGATCAGTGTCAGTCAGGAGCTCTGACAGGGAATAAACATGGACACAGTGTGCTGGACACGTGGGCCCACCTAGCGCCGCCTCGTGCCCTGGAAGGACCAGGTCAAGTGGGAAAGAGGAAAGCATAAGCTGTTTGGAAGGAGCTGGGCACAGGGGGGCATCGCAAGCCTCTGTATTCACTAGTCAGGGCGGTGGAAGGAGTGAAAGATTGAAGCAGCCACTCGAAAGGAAGAACCCTTGTTGCCCAAAGTGGTCTAAATCCCCCTCAGATGAGTCAGGGCCTCCTCCACTGTGTTCTGGCTTTCTTTCTCTGTGACCACTTGATAGCTGCTCAACGGGCAGGTGTGGTCAGGCATGGGCAGGTGTGGGCAGGGACGAGCAGGGGTGAGCAGGAGTCGGCAGGTGTGAGCAGGTGTGGGCAGGTGTGAGTGCAGCTGCTGTGATGTGATGTGACGGTGCCATCTGGCTTCCCACGTCCTCCACATGAGGCATCCGGAGGGTGCAGATGCCTCTGGGCAGGCCGTGCCAAGTCTGCCCTGGCTTTGTGTCCACCCTGTGGCCATGTCCTTGCCAAATGCTATGGGAGAGGCATCCTGGGTTCGTCTGAGCCTACCAAGTCTGCATGGTCTGGGTGACCTGTGGGCTGCACGCCTATGTCCCCGGAGAATTCCTCTGTTCAAGCCCTGACCCCACTTTGATGGCCTTAGGTTCGGGCCTAGGGAGGTGGGTGGGTTTAAATGAGGTGGTGGGGTGGGGCCCCCGTGGTGGGATTAGTGCCCTCAGAAGAGACCAAAGCTGCTCCACACCCGTGAGGACACAGCAAGAACACGGCTGCAGACAAGCCAGCAAGGGTCCTCTCCAGAACCTGACCCTGTGGGACTTTGACCCTGGACTCCGGGCCTCCAGAACCATGCGAAGTAAGCGTCTGTTTGAGCCACGAGCCTGAGTTCTTATATTAAGGGAGCCTGGGCCATGGAGGTGGGAATAGCTGAGTTTCGTACAAGCATCCTGGTTCTCCAGCTTAAACCCAGCATGGGGGACACTGTGGTGACCTTTGCCCACCTTGCCCTTGACCTTCTCAGGCCTCCCGCACTCTGCATCCCCCCACCTCTGGAGCTGGGGTCCTGCCTCTGCCACCGTGTGGGCCCCGGCTGTCACCTGTGGCACCCACCCTGCCCCTGCTCACATGTCCGACCCCCGCGGGCCCATCAGTCATAGCCTGGCGGGTCTGACCTTCCTCGGAAGTCGCTGGGGCCCCAAACCCAGTGATGCCTCCTCCTGCGTGGGTCCCCCTGGAGGGGTGGGTGGTCACTGGCCTTGTGTGAGGTCCGAGGATCTCTCTCTTAGACACAGGCTTCTTGGGTTTCCTGTTTCTTTTATTATATGAATTTTAAAACAACCACATTTGGTTCATTTGATAATATTTTTAAACCAGAGTCTGTCGATCGCGTTTAGCTTGGGTTGCACTGGGCTTTGCCAGTAAAGTGCAAGAGCACAGACCTGTTCATGCATGGTGGGAATGATGTGTATGGCGTGTCAGAAGAAACCGCCCACTTTGCCCACGAGAGTCTAGGAACAGTGGCCGGACAATTTTGCATAGTGTCTGCAGGCGCCTACCAGTCTTCCTGGGTTATCACAAACAGACGAGTGCGTCTTATCTGCAGGTCCAGAGCTTTGACAAGCACCATTCCATCATTTATGTGATGACGTATCATTTATCTAGTGATTCAGTTTAATAACATCGCATCACTGATTTACCAGAAATGCAGACACCTAACTACTTTCTGAGCGATAACTTTCTTACCTCTAGAGGGGAGTAAAATTAAATTAGCATCAGGAAAGTGAGTATTGGTGGGAGAAATCACCGAGGCATTTTTAAGTCCTTTGTGACTCATTTGGAAAAGACTGGCTGTCAGATGACGGTTCCAGCAAAGATTTCTGAGCCGTGGGATGGAGCGTCTTCCCCGAACCTCATCCCACAGTCCCCGTGGTGCCGGTGGCTTCTGTGGTGAGGGTCCCTTGGCTCTCGGTGCCTTGGTGGACCCAGAGGACCTTAGTCTTTCTTCGTGTGTTGCTAAGCGTGCGTCGGATCCGCTGGGATTTTTAATGCCCACCTGGCGCATTGCCCGGACTCAGGTGGACCCACAGGCTGTGGTCCTCCAGGCCTGGCACGTGGGGGGCACTCAGGGATGGCTTACAGGAACTGATGTGCAGAAAGGGCTCCACAAGCTGGAATGTCAGTCCAGGTCTAGAAAGGTTTATGTTAAATAGGGTTTAAAAAACGATGCTGTGCATATGCAGCTGGGGAAGATGGTGCCGGGGCCGCTCGTGGAGAGAGAAGGGCTGCTTTGATTAAAAATGGGTTTTGGGCTTCCCTGGTGGCGCAGTGGTTGAGAGTCCGCCTGCCAATGCAGGGAACATGGGTTCGTATCCCAGTCTGGGAAGATCCCACATGCCGCGGAGCAGCTGGGCCCGTGAGCATGGCCGCTGAGCCTGCGCGTCTGGAGCCAGTGCTCCACAACAAGAGAGGCCGCGATAGTGAGAGGCCCGCGCACCGCGATGAAGAGGGGCCCCCGCTTGCCACAACTAGAGAGAGAAAGCCCTCGCACAGAAACGAAGACCCAACACAGCAAAAATGAATTAATTAATTAATAAACTCCTACCCCCAACACCTTAAAAAAATTAAAAAAA